TGGCTGCTAAACTCCAGTGGGCTCCTTTCTGTTGAAGACCTTATCCCAGGTTTATATATGTATTGGCTTAGTGTTTGTTAGTAGCATGACTTCAGCCCTGTCGGGCTGCGTTTTGGTGTGTCTTGATGACATCCTAATCTATACCGAGAATATGACAGACCATGTAAGCTTGGTGTGAGAAGTATTGAAAAAACTGCTGAGCGCTAAGCTTTACATCAAACTGTCTAAGTGCGAATTTCATCAGATGTGTCTGGACTATTTGGGCAATAGAATCTCCAATGAGGGCATTGAGATGGATCCAGCCAAAGTGAAAGCTGTAATTGAATGGCAACCTCCAAATACTCGAAAGCAGCTACAAAGCTTCCTGGGGTTTGCCCATTTCTACCGTCAATTCATCCCATCATTTGCTGAAATTGCTTTACCCCTGACAGACCTGTTAAAAACTGGCAAGGAAGGGGGAAAGCCACGACCTAATCAGCCACTACAATGGACTATGGAATGCCAAACCGCGTTTGAGAATTTAAAAAGATTATTTGCTTCTGAACCAATCTTAAGGCACCCCTACCCAGAGGAACCATTCGTTATTCAAGCCGGTGGCAGTGATCTGGCTGTAGGAGCAGTAATTTTTCAGAAAAATCGTGATGGGACCTTACAACCCTGTGCTTACACTTCTAAAAAGTTCACTGACACTGAGCGAAGATGGGCTGTCTGGGAGAAGGAAGCCTTTGCGATTCGGGGGGCACTGTTGACATGGCGTCATTACCTAGAGGGGAGCAAGGTGGACTGATCACAAAAACTTAAGAGGCATTAAAAACTCCTCATAAACTATCTCCCAAACAAGTACGTTGGGCACAATATTTTAATTGTTTTAATTTCGCCCTAAAATACATACCGGGTGGAAAGAATTTTTTGGCTGATGCCCTATCCAGATTGCCCGAATATAAAAGCCAGCACAAGCAAGTCATAGATTCTATCATGTCCACACCACAGGTTATCTCTCAAATTAATCCACCGAACCCCCAATCTACAAAAACTCCTAACCCTGACGATCCTGTGACAAAGAAGTTAAAGCAAGAACTGATTAATGATCAATGGTTCAAGGACAATCAAAGCATTCTAACCCACAGGGATGGGTTGCCTTACAAGGGGGAAAAATTATATCTACCTGAATCACTTAGACTCCAAGCACTCCAGCACAGCCATGATGTAAAACAGGCTGGTCACTTTGGTTACTTGAAAACTCTGCATTTAATTCACAGGCAATTTTGGTGGCCGGGTTTAAAGAAAGATGTAGAGAACTATGTAAAAAGCTGGGCAGTCTGTGCTACCATGAAAAGAATTTCAGGGAAGGCCCCTGGACTAGTGCAACCTGTTGCAGACCCTTCCCAACCCTGGGAAGAGACTTTATCGTTGAGTTACCTGAAAGCAGAGGAAATACGGTAATATGGACTGTGATTGGTCTTTTTTCAAAGCAGGCTCATTTCATCGCCCGTTCCAGCCTCCCGTCAGCCCAGAAATTGGCTAAGATGTTCCTTAAACACATTTACTGACTACATGGTGCGCCAAAGCGTGCAATCTCTGACGGGGGCGCAATTTACAGCTAAATTCTGAAGAAACTTTCTGAAAATAATTGGCTCAACGCAAGGTCATTGGCTTTTCATCTGTCTACGAATGGGGCAGCTGAAAAAGCGAACGCAATGGTGGAACAATATCTTAGGTGCTATGTGGGTTTACCAACAAACGAACTAGACTGACCTCCTACCATTCGCTGAAGTGGCTTACAACAACACTGTCCACAGTCACACCAGTTTCACGCCTTTTAAGATCGCGACTGAAAAGGATTTTATCCCAATGCCTGAATACCCCCAAGATCCGCCTGCCTCTCGGACGTTAGACCAATGGGTGTCAGCTTGGAAGGGAATGTGGGACAATGCCAAGAAAGCATTGAAAAAAGCTTCAGAAACATAAAAAAACAAGCTGATAAGAGCTCCCCAGAGGTCATTTCGTGTGGGGGAAAGGGTTTATCTGTCCACGAAGTATTTAAAACTCAAACTGCCTAGCAAAAAATTGGGACCGAAATACCTGGGTCCTCTCCCCATGAAGATGGCATGAAAGGTATATTCAGAAGCCATTACAAAAAAAGGGGGCAGAAGCATTCCTTGAGCTCTGGGGGAGGAGATGGCTTTAGTTGGCTCCTCCATGACCCAATGAGAGTATAGGAGGGAGGGGAGATAAAACACTAGCAGCGTTGCAAGACTATCTTCCTAGATAAATAAATAAATAGGTTTAGTTAAATAAATCTAGACCTACTTATAAATTCCCAGATAAATAAAATACAAGTATAGCTTTCTTTTAGAGTTGATTTCTTGATGTGTTTGCACCCTAGAGCTGATAGTAAGTTATTTTTAAATGGGAGACATTGCTAATGATAAAGAATTATTTAAAAAATCATGCAGTTATTCATGGAGCAGGAAAAGAAAAAAATGAGGTAGGAGGGTCCATTAAACCTGTGTCAGAATGGTGAAAGGTAATGAGGCATAAGGGGTTTTTTGCCTTTGCATCCTATGGTTTAATTACTTTCATCCTGCTCCTAAATGTTTTTTTTTATCTTTTTGGAATTAAGAGGACAACCAACACTAGGTCTGCGTACAAACTCATAGAAGACGTCTGTTATGCTGTATCTCCTTTATTTGATCACTGGAGAAAGAAATGTTAAAAAATCCTGATGTGCCAGGAAATTATACCACACCTTCACTTTTAACATGTTGTTTAAAAGTCTTGTAATCCTATGACAATCATGTTTCCCTTTTATGTTTTATCTGTAGAATAATTAAGAATCAAGAGAAGCATGACACATTTTATGCAGAACATTCTCTTATGCGTACATAAAGAGAGTTTTAATCATAATCACTGAAGGAGGATAGCTATGAACCAAAACTAAAACTTATTTGACATTATTATTAAAAAATAAAACCTTCACCGCATCTAACTGCAGGGGCAAACTATCTCTTTCAGCCAGTAGGTATATTTTTTTAAAAGATGAAAAGGTACTTTCACAAAATGGCCACCAAAGCCAGTTGAAACATTCCAGTTTTCCAGATGCCAAACAGGTGAGTAAAGAGCATCCTTAAATGTTCTCGTTTTGTCTTTTTTTCTGGGTAGATGAGGAGTCTTACAAACAGAGCTTGTAGACTACAGCTATGCTTTAGGGCAGGGGTCCTCAACCTTGGCAACTTTTAAGACTTGTGGATTTCAACTCCCAGAATTCCTCAGCCAGTAAAGCTGGCTTGAGGAATTCTGGGAATTGAAGTCCACAAGTCTTAAAGTTGCCAAAGTTGAAGACCCCTTCTATAGGGCCAAGGGGAGGCCTAGAAATAATTTGTAAATAATGAAGCTAGATTCTGGCCCTTCACAGTACATAGCCTCTCATTTATTCATTAAAAGAGCAAAGAATGTAAAATAAACCCCCACAAATTCAGGTGGTGCAAGAAGGAAGGGAAGGACTAACAAATGAATCTGCCTAGGATACTATATCATCCGTCTCTGCAGAATACCATAGATTATATCATAGGTAGCCAATGTATGAATGCAGAAATGTATTTTTGTCAGTTCAAACATCCCATAAAAGGGGACAATTGCAGATGACCTGTCCATATCAACCAATAAAGGCACCTCCTGCTCCCATCGTAAATGTGCAGACATCCTGTTCCATAGGGATTATAGAAAAGGGACAGGAATACAAGAGGGAACAACTTATTTTGCCCAAGCCGATAAGAATCAAGGCATGTTTGTTATTAATGACAACTCTTTCTGGTCATTTCACAAGGAAATTAGTAAAATAAATAGTCAGTGTTAATTGTGAATGTTATTTTATGACAATGAAAAACACAGTAAGCAGTTGACTATAGTAATATGGGGAAATGAAATCTGTAAAACCAGCCATTCTAAAATTGCAGGAGCCCATAGCTTTCATTTCTAATGTCTAAACAACCGAGTTAAAACATATAAATTATTCAAAGCAATGCCTAATATGTATGGCCCAACTCTCTAATGATGTTGTGACGGCCAGTAGCACAGACTGGTTTTCCCTTTTCAGATATTAGCCAAGAGAAAATCCTGTAACAATGCAATATGCCAGTTGGGATAAATGATTTCACTGCCACATTCTGCTTCCATGTCTCTCTAATGATTTTTCTTTCATATCTAGGGGACAGAATACTGATTAAGCTGGCACTTGTTTCATGTCAGGAGAATTCTTAATGCAGTGACTAGTGAACTCCGTGCGCTGAATCAGGAATTCCAGCTGCTTTTGTTTCTATTCATGAATCTTTGGCCAGATTTGAGGAATAACCTCTTTTATCAAATGAAGAGCCACTATCATGCAACCAGAAACCACACCCAGCCCTCCACTAACCCTTCCAGAGTTGTGCATATTGGTAAGTGCCTTCATATTGGTTGTTATGGACAGTTGATTCTAAGAGAGAACAAAAAAATCACCATTCACTGTGTTCCCTTCTGGCCGCTGCTAGAAGGCCAGAGCACAACAGCATCTCTCCCCACCCTGCCTTATGCAGCACTTGTAGGAGAAACCAGGAATGTCCCAAGTGTTAATGCCAAAGATGCTCAAAGCCATTACCGGTGATGGGAGCCTCCTGCACTGCCAGCCCTCCACACTATTGACTGTTTCTTGCATTAGCCTAGTCCCAGCAGCACACAATGGCTCTTTAAATACAATTAGTGCTGTTGCTAATGGAAGGCAGTAGAGTTAAGACCCTTGGCCCAAGGCAGAGGAAGATACAGCTACTACCCAACTGCCTCCAGGGAAATTACTGGCTCAGGTCAAAAGAGAGGTGGGGGTAGGGGAAGTCTTTCCCTGCATTTGCTGCTGCAGGAACCTTGGCTACTTTTTCCTTCTTCGCCTTGCAGCTCTCCAGATTGAAAGATACCTGCTCATCGGTCTGGCTGATTACATTACAACAAACCCCATCTATATTCACTTTATTTTTATTAGTTCAGTTAGCCATGATAAAACAGAAATGCAGAGAACGTTTAAAGTTTAAAAAACAGAAAGGGAAAGATAAAATACCAACTGAACTTGACTCTGGAGACCGTATAGTGTCCCTGTATGCTGTTCAGCTTGCCATCTGAAAGGATACAGTACGCCTACAACAACATGGGAGGCAGAAAACAAGGGATTGCTGGCTTTCTCAGTTCTCTTTAGGCGGCCTCCTTTCTCCCCAAAGGCAGTAATTGGCTGTGACTAATTACTGTGGCATTGGAAGGGGAACAAGCTGAGGAGGCCAGTGAAACAAGAAAGGTATTCCTATGCCTTGCCAGGTCTTCAGCCTATTGGCCTGGATGAAAGTGTCCAGTCAGTCTCCCCTCGGCAGTATAGCTACCATACCATCTGCAGGAGGGCTAGGGGGGAACCAGTGTGATGGCTTGAGTATTCCTGGCTAATCAGAGCCAGAGGCAGACTCTGCTGAACTAGGTGGTGTGCTGGCTATCGCCTCCTCATCAGAGTCCTGGAAGAGAACAAGCGTGGTTAGGAATATGGAAGACATACGGGATTAGATACATGCTTTACAGGCTCTAAATTAAAAGAATCACATCCAAAAAGGAAAGCCTGCCCCCATCCTATTTTAATCCACTTGCATTGGGGTTGGCAGATGATGACAGATGGTGAGAACTGGGAAGATGATGTTTGGACATATCATCTCATCCAGTCTGATGGTGATCAGCAGGTGAAGTAGTGATGTATTCCACACATACTTTCAGCCCTGGGCAGTCCAAGAACAGGGCCACTCCACACACCAAATTGCAAGAGAATAGCTTTAAAGAGTAAAATGTTCTGAAGTCGATCAATCCCAAGTAAACAAATATTCACTGCTAAATGCAAATGCAATGTATAGCAATCGGATTAATTCTGAGCATGACAATCTACAACTTTTAGGATGATTATATAGGTTTTTCTGCAGCAAGCCCAAGCATTAAAAAAGAACCTGCATAAAATTGGACAATGCCCTTTTCCATTTTTTTTAGTTTACAGCCAACATAAAGAAATAGCACTAGCAATAATACTTAGTCTTATATATTGTGTCAGTGTTTTACAGCCCTCTCTAAGCGGTTTACAGAGTCAGCATATTGCTCCCAACAATCTGGGTCCTTGTTTTACCGACCTCGGAAGGATGGAAGGCTAAATCAACCGTGAGCCAGTCAGGATCGAACTGCTGGCAGTGGGCAGAGTTAGTCTGCAATACTGCATTCTAACCACTATACCACCATGGCTCAGCACCCACTTCCAATGTATTTTAAAACTCACCTCTTTCTTATCTTCACCTGAGGAACTTTCATCGCTGGACACAAACTCCTTGCTCTTGAAGCTCTCGCCTAACTGTTTAAGAGGAGTCTTGCTAGCAGATTTTACAGGTGTCGCTACTTTCTTCTCTGTTCTGCCTTTTACTGGTTTATCTGGCTTTTTCTTTTTGGCTTTTTCTCTGTACACATAAAAACACAGACAAGTTTCTGCAATAGCAGAGTCCTTTTGGTTTAGGAGAGATGGGGTTGAGGAAAAGACTCTTGTATAACTACTCACCTCTTAGAACTGTCCACTTTGCCCCCTTCGCTGTAGTCCTTCATGGCCTTCTCATAATCCCTCTTGGCCTCTTCCGCTTTGCGCTCCCACTCCTACAAGGCAAACAGCCAGTTCTACACTTCTTGTTCAAGCTGCATAATCCCTCCTCCCCATTCACACATACATGTTAATGCATATCATATTCCTACTGACTCCTGAGTGTACCCTATCCAAATGTCACGGAAACAGAAAGCTACATTTCAAAATCCCAACTTCTTTTAAATCAATAGTGTTTTCACTTTAGGCTGATTTGCTAAGGCTTTGAAGGAGGTCAGTTTTAGACTCAAAAGCCCGTATGAGATTTAGTGCTCCTGTGGGAACGCCTAATGATCAGGATAGGATTACTATGTCCTAAAAAGTAAGGATATGCAAAATGTTCCGAGGCAAAAGATTCCAATCTTGGAACCGACTATAGTCTGATCTTACCAGAAATGGACTGTCACAAAGTAAACACTCAAATGTATCTGGGGAGGTAGGCAAAGCACATTAGGGAGTTGAAGCACTGTGATCTTGAAATGGCTGTTTATCTCTAGTGAATAGCAGAACAGGGCAAAAGTAGCAGCCCTACTAAACCCAGCGCAGACTCTCATTGGGTTCAGAGAGCTGTTTCTCCAAATCCCCAGCAATCCCAATGTAGGTAACTGCTTATTCATTTATTTGATTTGAATCATGCCTTAAATTCAGGTGTTCGGGGAAGTGGACACAGTACTTTCCCCCTTCAATTTCTCCCCAGATCAACTTTTGACATAATTTGGAGTGAGAGGGTAATTGGCCTAAAGTCATCCAATGAGCTTCTGGGCAGAAAGCACACAAGAACTGGACCTCTGAGTTTAGTATGCTGTGTTTACAAAGCATATCCTCTCCCACTATGTTTAAAGTCCTCATCAACTGTTAACGATTTCAGAAATGTCTATCATGTCTCACAGTACTCCTATGAGAATCCCTAATGACAAGAATAGGATTACTTTACCCTAGAAAGTTAGTAATTTGGGATTTATTGTAACACCACACTTTTTCAGAAAACACAAAACTTACATTGTCACTGTCGTTGTCACTGCCCATCCCCATAAAATGGGATTCTGGTCAACACCCGTCTCTCGACTCACCTCTTTCTTCTCTTTCGACATTCCTTTCCACAGTTCCCCAGCTTTCTTAGACACGTCAGTGACACTCATGCCAGGGCAGTCTGATCTGATCTTGTCACGATTAGCATTGAGCCAGAGCATATACGCCGATAAAGGCCTCTTTGGGGCATTGGGGTCTTTCAGTTTTTTACCCTAAGAGGGGGATACAAGAGAAGAGAATCAGGAGAAAAGCACAAACACGTGTTAATAAGGACAAGCCTTCTCCCCAGTCTACCCTACAGATATTGTGAAAGATGTTTCCCTTCGGTGTGACTTTTCAGGCCTCTGCTTTTAAATAAATGGGGATAGCAGGGGCTGGACTAGATGACCTCCAAGGTCCCTTCCAACATTATTATTAGTACTAACTGTACCTGGCCACGCGTTGCTGTGGCTCAGACAGGTTAAATGTTTTTACCTGTCACAGGTGTGATATCTATATAATAGTAGGTATATAAAAACACGCGTGTATTCGAACGCAACGTTGTGTCAAAATTTCAAAGCAATCGGTGAAGAACTTTCGGAGATTTAAGGTTTTGAACAAACGAACATTTACATTTTTTATTTATATGTAGATGATGATGATGATGATGATGATGATGATGATGATGATGATTATTATTATTATTATTATTATTAGTGTCCTGGTCTAGCTAAAATTAGTCTTGGTTATGCATGGTTGGAAGCGACGCAGTTTAAGCGAAACAGATTGGGAAGGAAAGCACAGGCCTATCACTGAATGTGGATTGATTGATATCATAGTTAAATTGAATCTGCACATTCAGAAGTAGCCTCAAAATTAAATCACTGAAATAGACTGTAAATACCTGAAATCTTTCTCCTTCAGGTAATTTGTCAGCTGCCGGACTTAGATTATATTTTGGACTTCTTTAATAAAACTCCTTCTAAAGTGATGACAACTGTGCTTAGAAGCAGTTTGCCTCCCATGTCCAATGCCAGCCAACTTTTTTCCGATTGTACTCCAGCAGCCCAACACTATGTGAGTTCCTTCACGGTCAAGACTCTCCTCCACTGGAGGCAGCCTTCCCACAACCATGGGAGGGCGGACATTACTGAGACACTAGACGCGTTGGGGATTTTCAGTACTTGCCATGGGTGGTCTCAAGAGAGGCTCTCCATTGGCAAAATGATTGTCAGTGAAAGTGGTCAATCACAAAACGTCCATTTAGAAATATCATTTATAAATATAAATACATTAAATAATATTTATAAATTTATAAATAATGTTTTTAAGGAGACCCCAAAATTTTTTAGCAGCTTAATTCATGCTCTAGGGCAGGGGTCTGCAACCTTGACCACTTTAAGACTTGTGGACTAGGGGATCCTGCACTGAATAGGGCAGTGGTTCTCAACCTTTTTAATGCCGCGACCCCAACCGGTCGTAAGTCGAGGACTAAACCGGTCGTAAGTCGAGGACTAAACCGGTCGTAAGTCGAGGACTAAACCAGTCGTAAGTCGAGGACTACCCAACCGGTCATAAGTCGAGGACTTTCCCTGCCCGGGAGCACCGCGCATGCGTGTTTCCGCCCCCTGCGCCGGCCAAGGCATAGCTGGCAAGCGGCAGAGACGGAGCAGGCGGACCACCAGCTGGCCCAACCCAAGGGAAGTAAGGCACCCGCCGGAAAAGGGGGAAAAAATGGCAGACAAAAAAATGGCGGACAGCCTTGCTTGGCGACCATGAAATGGTCGATCGACCCCAAATGGGGTCCCGACCCACAGGTTGAGAGCCACTGGAATAGGGAGTTGCACCAGATGACCTCGATGGTCACTTCTGACTCTATAATCCTGAAGTCTTTCTCGGTACATAGAATTCTTTATGCCGTCTAAAATTTTGATTACGATACTGAAGCCTCAAGGGAATTTATTTCAAAGGTTAATCTCCACATAAAAAAAGGCCTATACTAAGTTCATTTTTACATTAACTCAGATATAATTTGTGGAACGGATTTCAATTTGAGAGCATTTTTCTTCATTTAGTTAGTCTTGCTGATGGTGTCCGTTCTCTGGAGTCACAGAGGGGAGTTACTCAATTAAGTCATATGTGAAGGTCCTCTACCCCCCCCCCCCAAAACCCCTCCAAATTAAGACAGAGGTCAGCTACTCTGAATAAGACTGAGTCTCTAGTGAGCTCTGAGCAACAGAAGAGAGTGCTCAGCAGGATACAAGATTGGTTCTAATTATTGTGAATGCAATCATTACCATGTCGGACAGACACCAAAGCATGTTAAGTGGAAGCTCAGTTTTTACCTCAGACTGTTTCTTGCGGGGCTTCCGTTCTTTAACAATTTTGGCTTTTTTGACAGGTTTCTTCTTCTCATCACTATCCCCTTCATTACTAGAAGAACTAGCAGAGGCATTGCTATCAAACCTGTCTCAAGAAAAAGTCAAGAGGGGTGGGTCAACAATGATTAGCAAAATAAGTGTGCATGTATGTAGGTATACTCACAAGTTTGAATAACTTCTTTATCTAAATAAAAACTCAGATCTAATCTACCATTCCTGACATTTCACACCGCAGTATCGTTATGTTAAAAACAAATCTTACAAAGAATTCTATACAATCAATCTAGAAGAAATCAGACACCAGAAGAGTTTACATTTCTACAAAACTATTTCTTACACACACACATAGTGGCAAACGGCACATGGCCCTTTGCAGAAATATTTTTTTTATAAAGCACAAATGTACAGGTTTTATTATATATGAAAGAATCTTCAGGAAAAATGACTTTTAGACTCACTCTTCTATTTCTGCAAGTATTTTTTTTCTTTTCAGAAACCCATAAAAAAACTTAATACCGTGTTTCCCTGAAAGACCTACCCCAAAAATAAGCCCTAGCTTGATTTTTGGGAGTGGGCCTAATATAAGCCCTACCCCAAAAATAAGCCCATTTGAGGGGGGGCAAGGTGCATGCCTAAAAATCAAGCTAGGGTGGGGGTGGGAGGTGGAGCTGTTGCAGCCAGGCCTCCCTCGCTGGCCCACTTCTTCTGCGGTGCCTCATGGCCTGCATTTAGCCGTCAGAGGCCGTTCGGAAAGGCCTCTGCAGCCGAGAACTGAGCTATGGATTCAATCCATAGCTCAGTTCTCGGCTGCAAAGGCCTTTCCGGAAGGCCTTTGATGGCGAAATGCAGGCCGGAGCTCCGTTCTCAGCTGCAGAGGCATTTCCTTCAGCCGCAGAAGAAGTGAGCTGGCTGGGTGGGGCTGTCGGTGCCACCGCCACAAGGTGAGACCGTGGAAAAGACACACACACACACACACACCCTGAAAATAAGATCTGGCGCTTCTTTTGGAGGAAAAAAAATAAGACTGGGTCTTATTTTCGGGAAAACATGGATAAGTACGCAAAGCCACTCATAAATAGGCAGATTGTCTTTCCTGACATTATTTCCTCCAATAAATTATCCAACAGCTTCAAGGAAAGCATCCAGATTTTTTATGCTCATGATTTTCCTGAAAAAATAACTTTTACTATATTCTCCGACTCTGTTGTAAATGCAATTTATCTTCCAGAGATTGCCTCCACATTTATCCTCCAATTACACAGTTGCCTTAAAACTGTAGTTCTGAAAGCTGGCTAAGGGATTTATTAAATAAACTCCAACTCCAGTCTTAGCTTATTATGGTATTTCTACAGTCAAATTCCAATGTTCTCCCCTTTCAAAAAAATTTTATAGTCATTCTTAGCACAGATATTTCATATTTTCCTCTTGGAAATAGTTTAATCTTAAAATGTTCCTGTTTCTGCATTCTTAGGTTATCTCAATAATTTTCTAAGAAACAAGCAAACAGTTTAGACTTGCAAATATTTTGGATTATAATTTCCCAGGGGCCTAGACTTGAGTATTAATGTTCAGAGGTTATGAATATAATAGTTTGGAGTGTACCAGGTTGCATATTTTGATTCTAACCTGGTCATAGTGACCTCATGTTCACTGCAAGGAAAAGCAGCCCTAGCCCTTCTAAAAGTAGTTATTTTGTAAGATTTGTAGCCTGCCTATTATTCAGGAGCTCAAGATGAGATATGAATCTAACATCACTATATAATACTATTATTACTTAAACAATACTAAAGTGTACCACAATTTCATTCATACAACACAGACATTAAACAAGAGTATCTCCAGTTATCTTTCTTTTCTTTTTTTAACTTACTCTTCTGCCACATCTTCCTCCTCCTCTACAGGATTGAATGACTCATCTGGGGGGGAAAAAGAATATTCTTATTTCTAATCCAGTGGTTCTCAACCTTTTTAATGCCGCGACCCCAACTGGTTGTAAGTCGAGGACTAAACCGGTCGTAAGTCGAGGACTAAACCGGTCGTTAAGTCGAGGACTAAACCGGTCGTAAGTCAAGGACTAAACCGGTCGTAAGTCGAGGACTACCCAACCGGTTGTAAGTCGAGGACTTTCCCTGCCCGGGAGCACCGCGCATGCGTGGTTCCGCCCCCTGCACCGGCTGAGGCGTAGCTGACAAGCGGCAGAGGCGGAGCAGGCCGACCACCAACTGGCCCAGCCCAAGGGAGGTAAGGCACCCGCCGGAAAAGGGAAAAAAATGGCGGACAAAAAAATGGCGGACAAAAAAAATGGCGGACAGCCTTGCTTGGCGACCCCCGTGAAATGGTCGATCGACCCCAAATGGGGTCCCGACCCACAGGTTGAGAACCACTGTTCTAATCCAAAGAAATTGACAGGAAATGCAAGGTGTTTGGACCTATGTAGAAGAAGAGACGAAAAGAGCCCAACTGCAAGTGAAAGCAATTTGGAGAAATCAGGCCAGCCACTGAAAGAAAGCTCACCTGTCTCCTCTCCGGAGTCCTCACTGCTGTCATTTGCATGTTCCTCACGAATCTTGCCCTCCTCTTTCATCCGCTCCAAGTAGGCATCATGGGAGTCTTCGTCAGAACCGTCGTATTCATCGTAGGTCACATTCTTGATGCCCTAGTAATACACACAATGGGCTCCATGGATGCTAGCACAAGGGTGTTTCACTTGCCACAAGCAGATAAAAATTCTTCAGTCGGTTTTTTTTTACACCTGAAGCATGCAGTGAGATTCTATACCTGTAGTTCCCCCCATGCTCCTAGGCACTCAAACTGCAGAGAAAAAGTTTCTGGTACACAAATTCCGCAGATGCCTCAACAACCAATTACATGCTGCTTCCCAGAATCTGCTAAAACACCCTATCCCTCCCCAGGGGAAGGGAGGAATCATGCTGGTGACTTTACAGTGGATTAGGTAGAAGCCACTCCAGGAGCAAAGCAGGCTACTGCCCCATCCTTGTGGTTCATGCAAGGTTATATACTATGGTGATTAGAAATGTTCACCACAGCCATGCAGAGGAGACCTGAACCAAGAGGAGGAAGAGGAGGGGATAATCGCACAGACCTTTTTCTTCTACAAGGAGAGAACAGAAATTGAGAAGGAAGAAAGCTCTGGAGAGAAAGAGAAACCCCCATCCCACCCCAAGCAGATCAGGAACAGGACTAGACAGCAATTGCCTTTCCTTGTTCTCTCTTGCCCACCCCCTGAAACAAGTACCTCCTTAAGTCCCCGGTTCTTGATGTTCAACTTCTTGGCATTCACAAAGTCAAAGAGTTTGCCATATTCTTCTCTGCAGGGAATAGAAATCACAGGAAGTATGATCTAGGATAGGACCAATATTCACCTGCCTATAGCAGAAGCAGATCAAACAGGAAGTACAATTTTTTTGTTGCTACTACAGAGAATTGGGGGCGGGAAAAGAAGTGGGGGGGGGGTGGAGGAGGAGGAGGAGCAGGAGGAGGAGGAAAAGGACCAAAGCAAGATGAGGATCAAATGAAAAAAAACAACATTTGAAATCGTGGGTCATTGTAGCAGACAAGCAATACAAACAGAATTTTTGAATCACAAAGGTTCTGCTAATATCCTCTGAAAGGGGAGACAGCCTATACCAGGGATAGGCAACCTTGGCTCTTTTATGACTCGTGGACTTCAACTCCCAGAATTCCTGAGCCAGCTATGCTGGCTCAGGAATTCTGGGAGTTGAAGTCCACGAGTCATAAAAGAGCCAAGGTTGCCTACCCCTGGCCTATACTTTACAAAGCACGAACTCTGCTGGATTGCATTCGCTTACCTCTCTATGCTGCTGAAAGTATACTGTGTCCCCTGCTTCGTTTCTATCTCAAAGTCAAAGGAACGTGTTGTTGTGGTCCCACGAGCAAAATTGACGAAAGCAATCTCATCAAAGCGGACGTGAACAGGTGGCTTGTGCACATAGATGAAGCCACGTTCCAAAGGGTACAAGAGTCCTGAAGTAGCCTTGTAAGAACACGTGATGCACTCGGTTCCGGAATGTCTAGCAAAGGAAAAAAGAAACATCAATATAAATTTTGTTGAACCAGATGACGGCAGCTATTTAAAAAATACAGAGGCAGCTTATCAAACTAGAAAGCCCCAACTATCCTATCTTAGTTTACCACCATCTGGCTTAACGCTAGTAACGAAGAGGAGAAGATACTTAGCAGAGACTCAGTGTAGTCACTACTGTGTTATTCATTATAACTATCACCCAGATCTTAATGCCTTCTTTTTCACTCCCCTTTCAAACACTGAAAGCTGGTTACAGTTCCATCTGTTCCTACAATCTACACTCCTTACCCCTTAAAGTTGCCGGGTACAGTTATCTTGCGGTTCACAAGGGCTTTCATGACGCGACTGACCATCTCATACAGAGAGCTAGACATGTTTTTGGTGAGCCGTCCTTCAAAGCGTTTCTCAACTTCATCCCTTTAAGTAGAAAGAATACAAATTAAGACAGAGAGAGACTCCCCATGCAATACTAGGACACTGGACATCAAGTGAGTCCAGGAGTTGACATCAGTAACAGAGAATAGATGGAGACGTGCCCAGTTCTAAAACAGTTGACTGTGCTGCTCTCACATAAATGACATTAGTTTATATAAATCAGTGGTTCTCAACCTTTTTAATGCCGTGACCCCAACCGGTCGTAAGTCGAAGACTAAACCGGTCGTAAGTCGTGGACTAAACCGGTCGTAAGTTGTGGACTAAACCGGTTGTAAGTCGAGGACTACCCAACCGGTCGTAAGTTGAGGACTTTCCCTGCCCGGGAGCACCGCGCATGCATGGTTCCGCCCCGTGCGCCGGCCGAGGCGTAGCTGGCAAGCGGCAGAGACGGAGCAGGCCAACCACCAGCTGGCCCAGCCCAAGGGAGGTAAGGCACCCGCCGGAAAAGGGGGGAAAAAATGGCAGACAAAAAAAATGGCGGACAGCCTTGCTTGGCGACCCCCATGAAATGGTCGATTGACCCCAAATGGGGTCCCGACCCACAGGTTGAGAACCACTGATATAAATGGTCAATATTCGCACTTATCTTACACGTGTGTACATGCCTATATGAACAAGTGCAAGACTAAATACAAAGACATTTAGGTTGCTTGACTATGGTTTAAACAATCTGTGATCCCAGTCAGTGTGACTTATTTAACTATCCAAGGCCAAAGTATCAATGGCTTCTTGAGATGTATGAATCTTGACCATATGAGGGTACTTACTCATTCATGTTGAGAGTCAAGGAGATATCCTCATCCTTTGAGAACAATAGAATAAGGAAGTGATAGCGAGTTTGGCCTTGCTTTATAGGAGGGTCTAAGCTGATCTGGAACAAAACAGAGACAGGATTGGTCAAGCATGATAAAAAGAGAATAATATAGAAACTGAGGAAAAAGCTGCCTCTCTTTCCACTCCTGCTATTGCCCCAAAATACAAAAGAGATGCGAGTCCCACCAGCTAAATGTTATGTTGAAAATAGATAAGTTCCTTTTATTTCTATAATAACCAAGAAGATGGACATCTGCCTGGAATAAGTAGAAACTAAGAAAAAGAGGCTATTTCTGGGTTCTTTCTTTCACTAAAAAGGGATATAAAGGATGAATAATTTTACTTTGGGGTTTAAATTAGATATTACAGAATTTAAGCAGCTCCCAAAACACCAAAGGTGTTTTTTTGAATGAAACCTATTCTGAGAACCAATCACAGCAATTACTTCTCATAGGAAATATTTTGACAATGATTCCAAAATTCCTCACCACAAAGAACATCTGGCGCTGATCTTTATGGGGAAGCAAGAAAAGTCGCAGAACAGTAGTATATGGGATTTTGTAATCGAACGTCTTGCCATGGAGATGCAGGAAGGTAGGATAGATACGGATATCATAGCGTCCACGAGGAGTCAAGCACTGCAGTTCTCGGAAGATGCAGATAGCATCTCCAGTAGCCTGGATGACATCGGCCTTTGATAACACATTCTGGGCAAATGCCTGCAACAGCAAGGAGAGTTTCATGAACAAGTGTTTTTTTCCTCCACTCTGTCACCTCAACCTCAAGTTCAACTTACCTCCACAGGATCCACTCCATCCTCCTGAGTGGGTGGTACATAGAAGCGGACCTCCATGAGGGATACATCAGCATCGTCATTCTGATGGAACTCCAGAGTCACCTCATTCTTGCCAGTAGTGCACTGGGACACGTTACTGAGCGGGATTTCAAAAACCGGTTGCTCCCCAATATCAAAAGACAGAAGTTGCCCTTGCAAAAAAGAAAAAAGAAAGAAAGGTTTTCAACTCACTAAAGTACATTACCTTATTTCTCACATCCTGCTAAGCCATAAAGTGCTTAGCACATCGGGCTTTGGTTTTAACTGCTTAATTGCAAAATGCTTGGTGATCTGCATACTAAGGTTTATACAGAAGGGGTGGGCAACAATTTGATTGTAAGGAACCTCATTTAACATGGAACAGCAAAGTTACACCACGCAGGAAAGTGATATAAAAGGGATAGGACATTACCTGGACTGAAATATTCAGTGTTCCCCTACAGTTTTGTTGGAAGCAGGAGAGGGGAATGGTAATTTTGCTTTTTAAAAGCCTATTTTACGGCATAATCTGCCTCAAAAACAAAGCCTCCAGTAGTTAGCATAAAAGATTGTAAGTTTGGGGCAGCTGCTGCAAATGAAGATTGAAAGTCAATTGTCCTGGTCTACAAGATTTCAATTTTGGAGTTATGACAACTACTACCTCATAGCCAACAACCAATCCCTCCTCCAAGCAAACACCTTTATTATTTTCAATTAGCTACAGTAGTGGCCAAAATTGTGGAAACCTTTTGGGAAAAGTGTACATTTGAGGTTTGATGGCTAACAACACCATTTTTATTTAGAGTAGTACCATAAAATTATATATCAATGGAAAGATAATGTAATCAAGAATGTAATGCAACAACGTTTGGTCAATTATCTGTATTGTATGAAACGTTATAGCCAAATAACCAGAAAAAGGAAGCACAACTTGCTTAGGTTGATATCAGGTAGCTTTCCTTCATCTGATTGTAGCCAATGAGCATGAGTGTTTAGAGAGCCAATTAGATGTCATCTTGTTTTGGCATTGAGCCAATCAGATCACAGTAGGATTCAGTATTGATGTCATGTATTGAAGCTGAGAGGAGGACATTTGTCAGTGTGTTATGTGATCGCTATCAAGCTGGTTGGGGTTTTTTGTGTTCTTTCATTTAGTGAGCTTGTAAAACGTAATAAAATTAAAGTAATGGTGCAAAGAGTTGACTGGTCACCCAGAAAGCAGTGTAAAATAGTATTATTAAGTGAACAAGGCTACGGTTATAAAGAAATTAGGAGAAAAATTGGTGGAAACTTAACCAAAGGTGTCATTTCTAAGTTTTTGAAGAGGTATAAGGAGACCCAGTCACTACAAAACCACACTGGTAAAGGCAGGAAAAGGTGCACAACAGCAAGTGATGATAGAAGAATTAAGAGACTGTGCCTACGTGACAGAAGAAAATCATCTGGGTGTATACAAGATGAAATGGCGCAATGCAATGTGAAGTTGAGTGCAAGGACTGTTCGGCGCAGACTGCAGGAATTCGGCCTAAAATCTAGAATTCCACAAAAAAGCCACTTTTATCTCTCAAACAAAGACTAAACTGGGCTAAAACCCATGTTACCTGGACAGAGGAACAATGGGACAATGTTATTTTGAGTGATGAAACCAAGATCTCCCTGTTTGGTAGTGATGGCATAAAATATGTAAGGAGAAGAATCAGAGAAGATTTGCATCCTGATTGCATTACATATACTCTGAAACACCCAGTCAGTGTTATGATCTGGGGTCGTATGACATCAAAAGGTGTGGGCAGAATTTGAGTGATTAATGGGAATATAAATGCCCAAAAATACATTAATGAAACACTTGAGCCCAAACTGAAGTCTTCCGCACATTATCTTTTCATGAAGCATTTCAACAGGATTCAGCTCCATGTCATGTTGCTGCTGTGTACAAAAAGTGATTTCAAGATAATCATATTCCACTGCTGGAATGGCCTGGGAATAGCCCAGACCTTAACCCAATTGAAAATCTATGGAGCCGACTAAAGAAACTTGTTAAGCAGAAGCGACCCAGCAATAAAACCCAGTTAATAGAAGCAATCATTCAATCTTAGTTTCACATTATAACAGCTGCAGAACTAAAGGACTTGGTTCATTCCATGGGAAGACATTGTAAGGCCATAATTCATGCTAAAGGTTACCCTTTAGCATGAATTAACTGACATGGTGATAATTTTTGTATATCTCATTTTTTCTACGTGTTTCACTTTTCTTCTTTATAACTGCTATTCTAATAGCAAATCCTTCATTAAAGTTATTGCATTACATTCTTGATTAAATTATCTTTCCATTGATATATAATTTTATAGTACTACTCAAAAACAAAGTGTTATTAGCCATCAAACCTCAAATGTACACTTTTCCCAAAAGATTTCCACAATTTTGGCCACTACTGTATGTCTCCTTGAATTGTTTCCAATTACCCATTTCCATGGAGTTATAATGTAAAACTCACCTCCAAATTTGACTGTCCCCCAGTTCCAACCCTTTACACACAGATCTTTCTCAGCAAGCTCTAAATGAAAATGTGTTTTGAAGAAATCTGAAAGTTTGTCGAACTCCTAAGAATGAAAACAGCCAATTTACACACCAGCAAGCTAAAGACTTGTACAACAGTAGTTTGAACCTATTCCCTTTTTTCACCCAAAGAAATTTACATTATACCTCAGATATGAAATCATATTTATAGTACAGGCCCTAAAGTATAATATTAAGAAACGTTATGTGGATATTGAGCAAAAAAAATCCCAACAAAAACAAAACTACACTTCCTTTGATTTAAACTGGGCTACTGGCAATTTGCAGGGATATAACTGTGAAATTTTCATGGCTTTGTAGAGAAGTGGTTTGCCATTCTTTCTTTCTGGATTTTTTAAAAAAAATCTTCTCACTGAATGAATCCAAAAGATAGATAGATTAGATAGATAGATAGATAGATAGATAGATAGATAGATAGATAGATAGATAGATAGATAGATAGATTAGATAGATAGATGATAGATAGATAGATTAGATAGATAGATTAGATAGATAGATAGATAGATAGATAGATAGATGATAGATAGATAGAAGAAAGAGAAAGAAAGAAAGAAAGAAAGAAAGAAAGAAAGAAAGAAAGAAAGAAAGAAAAAGAAAGAAAGAAAGAAAGAAAGAGAGTTTTAGAATGTCTGGGTTGTCTCCCACATCCAATTATAAAATAGGGCCAACTCTGTTAAGCTAGTCAAGGTTAGCTAGGTGCTATCACCAGCTGATGCCAGTATCTCCAGTCACAGCTAAATAGGAAACAAGCATTGCTGCTACAACTGCCATTCATATTACAAACAGTATTTATAAGATCCAAAGTTGAAAAACACACAGATGTAATCAGATTAGATATCCAACTGCAAAATCTCTTGCTATAGTGAACACTCCAGTAGTTTTTAAAACATCTTCAACTGCCTATCTGATTAAAGCTCTGCATTCTTCTCTAATGCATCATGTTCAAAAGTGAATTTGCATCAAAAGGGTCTTACCGTTTCTCTGAACCCATCATACTTGTAGACATGGCCACTTTTAGTAAGCAGTTTGAGGCCGTGGCCCAATGCTACTCGCCTCCAGATACCCTCTGCCAATTCGGAGGCCTGGATGTTGTCAACTTTCCCAGTTTTGCTGTTCTTAAAAATCATACCTTGACGGTTTAGCCGCAGACGGCCATCATTCTAGTGCAGAATAGAAAATGTTAGTAAGAAAATAATAGTGAATGGCAGCTAAAAGCAAAGGATGATACCTAACTTTTCACACAAAGGGAAACCAAATTTCTATTTAAAGGAAAAATAAACTATTTTCTCATCTAAATTAAAAAATAGAATTTATGTCCTAAGTAACCTCATTCTTTCAAGAGCCTCTAAGACAGTGGTTCTCAACCTTTTTAATGCCGCGACCCCCAACCGGTCGTAAGTCGAGGACTAAACCGGTCGTAAGTCGAGGACTAAACCGGTCGTAAGTCGAGGACTTTCCCTGCCCGGGAGCGCTGCACATGCGTGGTCCCGCCCCCTGCGCCGGCCGAGGCGTAGCTGGCAAGCGGCAGAGACGGAGCAGGCCGACCACCAGCTGGCCCAGCTCAAGGGAGGTAAGGCACCCGCCGGAAAAGGGGAAAAAATATGGTGGACAGCCTTGCTTGGCGACCCCGTGAAATGGTCGATCGACCCCAAATGGGGTCGCGACCCATAGGTTGAGAACCGCTGCTCTAAGAACCTCTTTAAAATTTAGAAACACTGGCAGCAAGCATACATCCATATAGGTAAGCAATTGAGGGAATATGCACACAAAATGCAAAAACCTAATTCTCCAGAGAAGTTCATAACATTGAGAAAGGTGAAAAGAGAGGGAAGAGGACAACCAACAACAAGGTGGATGGTTTCAGTTACAATGCCAATGAGTGCGACATGGAAAGACCTGAACTCAGTTAACTCAATACCACATAATTCATCAATCAATCAATCAATCAATCAATCAAGTTACAGAAATTCCTTCTAACATTGTGTCCAAATAATTAAGAGGCAGCAGACTACATTTTATATATACAGATATTCCTCAACCTAGAGTGATCATTCGAAGTTAGTGATCATTCGAAGTTACAACACTGAAAAAGTGACTTATAACCATTTTTCACACGGCCGTTGCAACATCCCCATCATGGGGATGGCCACGCGATCAAAATTCGGATATTTGGCAACTAGGTCATACTTATGACGATTGCAGTGTCCCAGGGTCATGTGATCGCCTTCTGCAACCTTCTGACAAGCAAAGTCAATGGGGAAGCCAGATTCACTTAACAGTCACGTTACTAACTTAAAACTGCAGTGATTCAGTTAACAACTGTGACAAGAAAGATCATAAAATGGGTCAAAAATAATTTACAACTGTCTCACTTAGCAACAGAAATTTGGTCGTAAATCAAGGACTACCTGTATGGTAGTTCCCACCTAGATTGACCATTATGAATTCAGTACCATTGACACCTAGGTTATAGACAGCAGCCATCTTGTCAATTAGAATATGTAACTGTTTTTGCAGAGCAAAATAAATGTTCTCCCAGACTTAATACAGCGTATCAATGTTCAAAAAAGGAACCTAGCAATAAAACATAATCGTTCTTGTTTGATATCTAGGACACATTCATTGTGTCTATACTACTATTTGAAGATTATTTTTCTCAAGATATTATACACATCAACAATATGTTTATCCAATTAGAACTATTTCCCATGCCTCACACAATTTAAAGTTTTAACTATAAAGTCATGTGGTTAGCCTTCCTTTCATATACATGAAAAAAATAGGTTTGAACAAACAATTCAGGGCAATGGAGAACATATATTATCAATGATAAGTGTCACAAATTTATTAGAATTAAAAACTAACATTAATATACACAGGAAAAGAGAACTGTTCCTAGAGATCAAACTAATACCAAAACAGTAGTACTGAGACACAGAATACAGGTAGTCCTTGACTTATGACCATGATTGAGCAAAAAATTTCTGTTGCTAAGCGAGACATTTAAGTGAGTTTTGCTCCATTTTACACATTTATTGCCACATTGTTAAGTGAATCACTGCAATTGCTAAGTTAGTAACATGGCTGGTAAGTGAAATTGGCTTCTCCATTAACTTTCCTTGTCAGAAGATCACAAAAGGTGATCATATGACCCCGGACATTGCAACCATCATAAATATAAGTCAGCTGCCAAACATCTGAATTTTGATTACATGAACATGAGGATGCTGCAACAGTCGTATGTGTGAAAAATGGTCATAAGTCACTTTTTTCAGTGCTGTTGTAACTTCAAATGGTCTCTAAATGAACTGTTGTAAGTCGAGGACTTCCTGAACTACCATATAACACAAATCATTCAGTAATTTTTAGAAGTTTGGACTATTTATTTTTAAATTAAGCTATGTTAAACTGGTTCCCTGTGCATTTTTACAGTGATAATACCCAGACATACCATTACTCTACCCAGCTAGACACTAAATGGCATTAACATTAAATAATTAAAAAGGCCTTAAGATAAATGTGATTACCATCAGCAAATTCAAGATAAATTTTTAGTAATTAAGCTACTGCAGCATCATGGAGTTCACAATGCCTAAATCAAAATTCTTTGGAGACAAGATCTGTTCTCCGACAGAAAATGGTACGTTACCTACAAACCTAATCTTTACCTAGGTATATAAATGCTTCTCATCTAACACAGTTTACACGCCCTATCTCCAAGTCATCAATATCTATCTATTCAGAAATGTTATTAAACCACTCACCATAGATCCCTTCACCTCTTGGTATATTTCATTGAACTCCAATGTATCTGCCATGTTGACAGCTCCCTGCCCACTATGGCAGGGGCTGGTGCGAGATCACTGAAGTATACCGCTTAGGATACCGTTTTGCAAGGAATCACACAGGAGATCAAGCAGAAGTCTTAGTGACTGGCATATTCTCTACCCTGAGAGAAGTCGAGGAAGCCCTGAGAGACCCAAGAACACTGGATCCCTTCTTTCAGAAATCTGGAAAGTAAATAGATACATACAAGCATTTACTTCCAAAATAAAATCAAATAAATTCCCTCTACCTTTGCAAACCGAGCACTCTCTTCAGGTCAAGCCAGCTTTAAAGACAGTATCCCAAAGTCAACATGGGATCTTTACTAAGTTGTCCCAGTGGGAGCCCATAAAGAATTTACCGGCCTTCCGAGGCAATCCTTACGGCCCTTGCCAGTTCGGAAGTGAGTCAGGAAAACTTATGCAGAGCTACGGACAGCCCTTTTGCCCCACTTAGGAATGGCAGTCCCCCCCCACCCCCCAAAAAGAGTGGATCGGCGCCAGTTAGGAGAGACGGATGTCAGAGATCGCTGCTCTATACAGCCGGCCAGCGCAGAGACGAAGCTACAAAGCCCGCCTCCACCACAACACCGGCCATCGGTCGCCAGCGAGTTCATGCCCACCCGGGTTACAACCTCCACGGCTGCCGGCCCGAGCCCCGCATCGCTCACCCTTCTCTCGCCAGTTTCCCGCCTGCGCAACACGAGACCCAAGCAACCCCTTCAGCTGCCACCGGAAACTAACCTCACTTCCGCCTTCCGAAGCTACAGACCGACCGTCGCTCCTGCGAGGCTTCCAGCTGGCGTTTCTTCCTGCGTGCTATAAACTTCCGATCAAAAAGGATGGCTGCTCTACGCCACGTTCCTCTATGAATGCGGAACAATTCCGCTCTAGTCCTTCACGTCTCTATGGCGAGAGTCTTGGAGCGCGGTCGGGTTTTGATTAAAAGCGCCCGAGACGGCGGTGGGGGATTTCTGGGGGAATGTTAACTTTTGCTTTCCTACAATCTGAGAGGCGTCGCTGTTTTCTATAGGCACCGAGGAAAGAGTACCTTGCCTTTCTCCTCTAACTTTATGGCGAGGACCGCAGCCTCCCGTCCTAGGCTCAAAATCATTCTTAATTGAAAGCATTTCCCTGCTTTCTCTGGCTTGGAGAATTGGATGGGTGATTTGCCCGCAGGCTATGGGCTACTGAAACAAAATTTTGCCTAAAAGAAGTTAACAGGCAAATAAGTAAAACTGCGAAAATGAATATGTAAGTCATCAAGCTGTTCCTTTTCAGGGCAAGCAACATTACGCGGGGTGTACAAAAGGAATAAGAAATAGCTGAAGAACTTAAAAAGCTTAAGAAAATAAAGCAGAGGTAGATATAGTTTGCATCAACATCTTTTGCTGTAGCTCTTCATTACAAATGAAGCATGCTGCCATCACACCCATACATCACTACTTGCAATGCTTGTTTTAGTCTTTCAATGTCTTCTTTCTCATTTTCAGGATTTTACTAATTCCATCCATCTATATCTTTCTTGTCAGTCTTCTACTTCTTTTTGCTCCCCATTCCCCTAACCATTATATATTTTTCTGTCAGTTCTGATTCAGTCTCTCTGTATGGCTAAACTACTTGAAGATATTTCTTCTTTACTGGCCGCTCACTTTCGCATTCAATTCATATTCATCAGCTATTTCTTCATTCATTCTTGACCCACTCTTCATAAGCATCTATTCCACTGCATTCAATTTTTCTTTTTCTCTTGATGTGCCACTTGCTTTCACTTCTATAAACAAAGTGAGCAGAGGCACAGACATTTTTACTTCTTTTAAGAAAAAATTGTTCAGAATAGACCATATACAATCCATTACTTTTTGCCAAGATTTGCACATCTTAGAATTTCTACACTCAGTTTTCCATTTTTAGAAATCATTCAACCAAGGAATTCAAAGTCAAGAATTTGTTCAAGACTTTTTGCCATTGATGCATCACTTGCAATCGGTCTTGTTAAATACAACTTAAATACCAAAGATGAGATATTACATGTATGTACATATACATGTATGTATTCTGGTAATTGATTTGTTAATTTTCAGTTTCAAACTCCTTGTTGCACCAGACAGTCTGTTTAAGTAGTTTGCTACTACCATTTAGTTTCAGCCAACAATAGAAAATTGCCTGCATACAAAGGTACATTATAGTACAATTTATATCTCCAACCAACACACTTTTAACATCATTAGAGTATATATCCATTAGTACATTAAACAAGCTAGCAGACATCACACATTCTTGTCTTATTCCCCCTTCAGAATCGATCCATTCACTGAAGAATCCCGTTTATTCTTATGCATTATATATTTCCAACATACGTTGCTCTTACCACATTCAGCTAACCTTCAATTTTGGCAAAACATTCTATAATTCAAGTCTTTATTATACTTTTTCCCTAAAGCAACAATTATTCATCATAACTATCACTATTGGTATTATTTTTGCTTTCATTTGCCACAGTCATTCTACATGTATTTGTAGGTCTTTGCATTTGGTGACTTTCTACAGTTTTTTTTGCTTCTAGTCTGCTTTCTTTACCTACTGTAACATCCACTATCCAGACTTATTTGTCTTTTTTATCAACAGTCTGGGGTCTGTGGCAGATGCTTGTCTGTTTGAATTCTAATGTCGCAGAGCACTTTAGCTTCTTCATTTTCTATTACTTTGTCTATTTTGTGGTCCCACCAGTTCTTGCTTGCAGTCAAATGGTATTTCCTGCTGATATTCCAATGCATCATTATTGTTAATTTATCATACTATTGTTTCTAGTAAGTTTGGGCAATTTTCTTGCAGCAGCTAACTAGGTGATCCGTTGTTTCTTCCACTTCTTTGCAGAGGTGGCATTTGCTTTCTGTTACTGTCTTTTCAGTTCTGACTTTGTATGCATTTGTTCCTAAGGCTTAGTCTTGTGCAGCCAGAATGAGCCCCTCCGTCTTTTTCTTCAGCTTTTCTGCTCTTAGCCATTGTGAGGTATTGCATTATCTGCTTTGCCTGCTGTTTTTTTTAATTTATTGAAAATAAAACATATTTTATTATATTATATATTATTGTGTAATTATATATGTGTAATATATTATTAATATTACTATGGTTAGTTGCATAGTCAACCAGATGTTAAAACTGGATTTGTCCTTTTATTCAGAACTGTCATGGCATTTATTACTTACTTTTTATCCATTTTTTCTTGGACACTAACATGTTTCATCCCAAATTATTTCACCATTTTTAATGTTAATTCTACAGAATTGACTTTAATACAGACACCCTGTTTAGTCCTCATTTTCAAAACAATTTTAAATTTTCAATCAAAATTACCTTATAATTTCTCTGCCTCTTTGAATTTGAATTTTTTTCTCTTGCTCTCTGGCTGCCACCACTACTACAACTAGTAGTGTTGTTAACAAAAATAATGTCATGTAAAGTCTAAAGGAAATTGATCTCAAAGACATATTTCAAGAATTTATATTGGAGATGAGAAAATATGTTCAGCATAATTAGAAAATGTCTGGATCCATTAGCTTTTAAAAAGCAATAGTTTATTGATTTTATTGATGGTCTGAAAAGGGCAATTACTTAAGCAGATCTATTTACTCATTTATTTAATGTATACCCACATAAAACATTTCATGTTTAAGGTTCCACCAGGTTACATTCACAGCCAGTTACAGTTATATTCATTATTGGTAGGATAATTTCTCCCTACCCAAATCCCCACAGCTTCCTCCATTGAGACAAAACTTCAACAGCCTCACCTAGCCAGTTTGGAGGTCAAAAGATATAACGGGATACCATCAACATACTATGATACCAAATAACAAACCAGTGAATAGTGTTTGATGTTGAATAGGACAGGAGAGTGTTGAGCGTCTCCCTCAAAGGAGGGCCGTAGGGAGCAAATTCTCCATTGTAAGAAAGGGAGGAAGAGAACCACATAAAACAATGCCCCCACCATCTTTTGACCCTCCATGCTAACAAAAGTTTGTACACATTTACTGCACTTTCTGGCAGTGTTCAGGAGACAAGCTTATTCCAAAGATTCTTGCCTTCCCTGATGGGTCTTCAACTCTTTACCAAGGGTCCACATCATACAACTGTGTGATTTGTTTTGTTTTGCCTTATTGTATTATTGTAAGCTTTATGCTTATGATATTGTATGCTTTATGATTGGACAAACTGTACGAAACCAAGTGTGGTTTATTTAATAACTCAAGGTCAACTAAACCACGAACTGGGCCTCATCCATGGAGCTCAGATGCCGTGCTTTCCTCCCATCCCCATGAGGAAGCCTGAAAAAAGGGGGGCTTCATATTGAATTGACAAGTGGGTCTGTGCTGGCACTAAGTCCAAAATTTTTCACACTTGCCTAGCCCTCTTATGCACGGCTTCTTCAAAATACAGTTCCATATAAAGTCATTTGGGGAATCTTTATTTTTCCTAGACTCAATCTTTGTCTGAACTTGCAACAAAAAATGCATTGTTTGTTTTCTTTCCACATGCACTATCTTTTATTTGTCCCTGGGGCAGTAATTCTCAAGCTGACAAAAAAGATCTGGAGTATAAATGTTTTACCAGCTTAAAGTAACTTTCCAGAGGGGAGATTCACTGCAATTATTCTTCATGGAATTGCTCTCAACTTCCTTCTGTTAGATCAGGGTAAAAATATATTATGGAGGAACTGCCACTGCTTAATTTTTGCTCACTCGAACAGTAAATCTCAACTGCAATAGATAAATAATTGCTGAGCTGTGAAAACATTGGGAAATACTTCTCCCAAGTGACAATATGTGAAAAAAAACAATATTACCTTTAATCATTCAGGTTGAATTTTTGTTTATTATTAAAGAGGCAAGGTTGTTCTTTGAATTTGATTTAAAATGTTTGGTTTAAAACACTTTTCCCTCATGTTTTTCCTTAGCTTTAAAAAGTCATTCCTATAACAACATACAAGAGTGATAGTGCCACTGGTTCACCCACTATTTCTTCTTCAGTCTTCTTTTTTTATTATTATATTTTTATTTTTTAAACCAACAAAACAAAACATAACACACATACACACACAGTATATACTCCTCCTTTTTTTTAACAGCAATTTCGTAACAGTAATCTATTATTTACATTTTACCCCCTTATTC